TAAAATTGATATAATATTTGTTTAATCAGGTTAATAGTTCTAACTAAGTAATAGTAGGAATATTAAATACGACCGAATAATTCAATTTGAAAATCTGCTGATTTGTAAATGTAGAGAATGTATTTTAATTGTCATGAATTTAGTACTCCAGATCATTTCACATATAATTGAGCCTATATCTGGCTTGCCCATGCTACTGACCCACTGATATAAATCGTTTCGTCAAAAAAAAATTCTAAAATATTTCCTATCTCACCCAATATCGCCTGAGAAAAATAGGTATATCCTTCTGTTTATGTTAGGTTGAGGTAGAATAAGTAAAATATAGGTAACTAATGAATGTACAGTAAATGATATTTCATAAGGTGTATTTTAGTATTGTAGAAAAATAAACTACTGACTGATGAATCATTTATAAGATGGGACAATATCCTAACCAAAATAGAATCAAAGCACATGAGCGCTGATGGTTGTCGACCCGAAGATATTTTATTATCTACATTTATTTTATACAGAAATACTTCGCAAGTATTTCAGCAGTATTGTTTGGTCTTTTAGTATTTTTGTAATACACATCTATGCGCATATTATAGACTGATCAAACTGCGCAAAATAGAGCTTTAGAGGTAACTGTGGCTTAGCATTTATTAAAGATTAAAAATAACAGAAACATGGTTTTTACGCACATAGAGTAACATTTAGGTTTACCATCGGATTGGGATTCATGCCAAAAATGGGTGATTCACGCATAAAGTTATCTCGCGAAAGATTCTTCAATAAAAGCAAGCCGTTTTTCCGACTTGATCTTTTTAAATCGTTAACACAGTGTTCAATGTTTTCAAATTGAATAAAAATTTATATCGTTTATGTATATTTTTCGATCGATTGGGTTTCTGCTGTACTAACTATACTCTTGCGTCGGTATGCAAAAACGGAAGTTGTTTCCAACCGCGGAGCTCTCCCCCCTCTCCTCGCTATTTTTTTTAATGAATCATTTGCTAGCGTTATGTGCAAAATTGCACTGTTGTTTTTGCACATCTTGAGTAGTTGATTATTTGATCATGAATAAGTATTATTATGGCAAAAATTATAAAAACTAAAGAATAACAGTAATACTACAGCGAGAAAAATTACTTTCCGGTGTGTAACATTGATTAATGCGAGATTATTGCAGTTGAACTGTGTATGTCTGAGAAGGCCTAGCCTTAGTCAGACGAAGCGTTAAAGAAATATATTCGTATTAGTGTGCAACAAGACTTTTAAATACTTCTTTTTGCTGTGCACCTTCATGATTTTGGTTCCAGTCGCCTACTATTTTGTATTTTTTTTTAGATTCATCCCAAATTTTGCTGGCCTTCCAGATAACATTTGGTTTGTTATTGTTATGTTGTTGTGTATTGTCAAGGCGATCAAAATAAAATTGATTGATTGATCCACTTTGTGGCCACTTTACTCTCACCTATAATCGGATTAGAATAGGGGGATACGTTTCCTGGGAATGATGGGAACGCCCTTCAGATGTTTTCATTGGCAACACCCATATTACGACATAAAGCAATTCAATCCATGTAATTGTTTCATAACAATAAAATAATTTCACACTTCACTAATCGATCTTTCCCCAAGCTTCGACTTCCTCGATTACTTCCCTAACATTGGCTAATCACCAAGGTGTATTAACAGCTACGTAACAAGTGGAATTTAAAAGTCGCTGAGACACTTTATTCACTCAGACATATTTTTAGGCATGGTGGTAAACATTAGATCGTTTTCGTGGTTTTGCAAGCTTTTTGTCGGTTTTAGTTTTGTGTCCACAATTTTGGAATAAATCAAATGACTCGATGATTATTTTCTATTTGAAGAGGGTTTAGTTTAGTTGTTGTAGGGATTCAATAAAAGGGGAGACATAACGCCAAAATTTTCACACTAAATACTCAACACAGCGCTTTTCCAAAATCGCGAAAGGGTAATGTGTATCGCATTAAGTTGATTCAAATCTGTCAAAACAAATTTCTCTTTCCATTTTACAAGTTATTCTCATTTCGTCATAATGCATCATTCGTAATTTATTTGATTTGTTATTAGTAAGAACTAGATCATAAGTGGTTTTCCAAGAGTTTTAATTGCCATTGATATTAGAGTAGATGTTGCGGCTCTGAGTATGTTTGAGTTTGAAGGGAAGGATGCCCAATAGCGTTTTCAATGTTTAAAGTTGACAGACTTACTTCGCTGTCCGCTGCAAGGCATAGCCGCTCATTTCCAAATATATCGGTTGGTTCATTTTTGAAAGGATTATTGATATCAAGCCGGGAAACGTCCGATTTTCAGTAAATCGTTCAAGAATAGAGCAAAATAATGTTGGAAAAGTCGTATGATTTAGGTATCACTGCAAATGCCGCGAATTTGCATTTAAAAAAGAAATTGGCTGAAATAAATTTGCTACACCTATTGCCTCACGGATCATGAAAGTTTAACGGCCCCTAGTTGTGAACATGTCTGCCGGTTGGTAATTGCCAACTTGCCAAAACATTTCATGTTCACTTCCTTAACACTGGCCAATCGGAATAAAGAAATCATAGTAACGCACGATCAGTCAGTCAACCTTTTCTTAACATTGTAGCGCTTTATCAGTTTCTGCTTGTCTGTAGAATTATTCAATGCAAAGCTCAGAAACTTATATATAGATAAACAGTATTCTCACCTGCCTGCCTCGCGTTTAGATAGTTTCAACACAATTAGTCTTTGTCTCTAAATGAACCGCAATTCATTAATTGTATGTTATTATGCGCTCACTATGATCACCACAGGCCATTGGCATTTGTACGGGCAGATTTTAATTATTAGTTACAATTAGGAAGTAGTAAGTTGAGGCAAAGCATATGAAAAGCAAACCATATAGTTTGACATTGTTTCAAATGTCTGAGAAACGCTTAAGCAGAACATGGAAGGAAATAAAAGTTTTTATGTATATTCGACTACATCAGGGGTGGGCAACAGGCTGCCCGTAGGCCACACCCGCCCGCCAAGCCATTTAGTGTGGCCCTTGTCAACACTCAGATTGTTTCACGTCAATCATAAAATTCTAATCGGACAGTTCATGTCATGGGTCCTTTTGTCTCGCGTGGGCTAAAATTAAAGTTGCAAGTCATTGGCGGGCCGCACATATTTTAAAAAAGTTGAAAAACCGTTGCCTCATTGCATCTCATAAAATTTCATTTGAGTATTTTCATCGCCATTGAACCCTTTGCACTTAGCATCAACTTTTCTGCGTTTTGTTGCCATTTGCTCAATTAAATTATATGCTCATTTAAACGAGTAATTGTGAATTATATAATTGTTAGATTATAATATAATTTAGTCTAAAGAATAGATTCTTAAAAACGGATGTTTTGTTACTGTAGGTTAGTGAAGCGTCGCAGGCCGGATTATAGTGCTCCGCGGGCCGTAGGTTGCCGACCCCTGGTTTATGTGAAAAAAGCGCTCTCACGTGAGTAAAAATACAGTAATGATTTTTGCTCTTGTCGCTGCGTTAAATCTTTCTATTTGAGAAAAACACCCCCGCCACGTTTTAAAATATCAAATTAATTATCATCCAGTTCGGGTTCGGGTTAGGAAGGATTTGAAAATTCAAATTTCCAGCACAATATGTATCCCTAACCCAAATCCTAGCTAGATAATTACTATTTTTTTCTTCTTATTCTGAGCGTTGACGGGGCTTTGTACAAAAGATCCCTAAGTGTATATAAGTGAATGTACACAATATAGTAAAACACGAAAAACTGGTAAGAACCGTTTTGAATGTCAATCAATACAGGCCATAGTTGCTATAATTGTTATAAATTCACTAGATCGCAGCTGTCTTGCTGATTACATTGAGTTGAACTTTCAAAGTCTCTCTTCAATCTATGTTTACTACTTGGTAATTCTGTCCCATAGTTTCTTTCAAAAATGAGTTCTTTCTTTAGAGCAGATTTCTTACAAGAGATAATAACCTATTCTAGACTATATTCACGGCTAGGTGTTTACTATAAAATAGCAGTAAATTTTCCATATTTTTCTAATAGTACAACGATGCCAAACAAGCCCTAAGGGTAGTTCATGCGGGGATGAGAATATGTGTAATCAAATAAACGAATCAGAAAATTACTTCCAATCGCCAAGTTTTGTCTGGGCTGTGGGCTAGTGCTTACGACGTCACATTTAACCTAGTTGATGTCAAAAATACTCGGATTTTAAATCCCGTGATCAGGATCTCGTATTGGGGGTATGAAATTGTAGTGCATCTTCCATTTTCCATTTTCAGTATAACGGTGCCTTATAAAGCCCTGCGGCGCTGCGGGTAGTTCATGCAAGGAACAGATATGTGTAATGAATATTTAAATCAGCGATAGTTTGCTTGCCAGTGGTTTCTGAGTGTACTGTTAGAAAAATTGTAAAATTCATATGGCTTTATGTGTGATCTGTTTCAGCAATGGTTTCTAAACTGCGCGTATCAAGATTTAAATTTTGCCGCAAAATATTAATCTGCAAAATGTAAATCTGCACGTTCTGGAGAGAAGTACATTCAGTATTGCGGGCGATTAAAATTACTGGTGTAGTCAGTGGAGAACCAAACTTTTCTGCCGCCCGGCTCGATGTTTTTGGTAGTGCTGCCCCTCATACCTAACTTCAATAACAATAATTTCGAAGATAAACAAATTATAAATGTTGTTATACATGAGAATGATTGATTTAAAGGTCAAGTGAGAGTGAAATGTTTGCATTATTATAAATTAAGATTAACTCAATATTAACGAAAAGCCATATACAACGTGCTGCCCGGGGAAGCTGCCCACTGGTCCGTATCTAGCCACGTCTCTGGGTGATCCCAACTAAACCTTAATAAAAAAGACTCTCTCTCATCCCCCAAATAAATTTATACTGACCTTTAAAGAACAATAACCAGCTAGAAGCTATTACCAAAAAATAAAATTGAACCCAAAAATTATTTTCATTTTCAGCTGCAACCTGATATAGTATATCTATTACATAGATAGATTTAATTGCTAGTCAACTATTTAGTTTATCACGGATTTAATGCTACGGAAGTGAGCACTCTTTTAATCCGCTTAGGAATCGGATGTAAAATCATCTTCGATTCTGCCAACGATTTTGAAGATAAGATAAGCTGATAACGGATTCTACTTATCTATTTGATGGTGGAGTTAATTGAAGTTAAAATCAGGAAACATCAAGGGATGTTCCATAATAAAAAGTTTCGAAGACTTTTCAGAAGGTTAGTTCACTTTGCTTTGTTAAACTATCGACCTTCTGCTAAAACTACTCGCCATCGCGGCCTTGCTCACATACCAAAGATCTCAGCATGACCCAGGATACGTGGTAACAAAAGACCTTGCTCAAGTGACCGATCATTTCCTTAATTAAATATCAACTTTTGTAATCTTTTAATATTAAGTAAACTCTTGACATGATCGAAAGGGAACATGGCACTTGGAAGGTCGGAGATCATGGTCCCTGGCAACTATTATAATATAGAAAACATTGAAATGCTTTGGAGGGAAAACCTTGATTGAGTGAAATTTCCGAATATCGAGGCAAACGGGTAAAACTGTTTAAATAAGTAAACGAGAATATCGGTCAGAGACCGAAGACTTATCGATCGAAAGTTAGGGGATCCCCCAAAACAGGGCTCTCACTCCATAGTGACACCTTGTGTCCCATCACTAACCAAAGAATAACTCGCTAATTATACGGCAGAATTCGCCCAAAATCAATAGGCTTCTGGTGCGGGATATGATGAATGCTTATGCAAAATCTGGAGCATATTCAATCTCTCTTTCGTGAGATATCGCGTGCATCTAACAGACAGACAGATATACAGACAGACAGACAGACAGACAGACAAATCAACATACTTACCCATTAAAATCGATAAGTAATAACGTCATCAGGCGTCAGTAATTATTTCAATGTGCTGTACCGAGGGTTCTGTTTGGCAGCTTGCAAAAGGTTGTTGGGCGAATAGTGTTTGCCAACAGGGGTGTACCCGGAAGGGGCGATTACAAGGCAGGGGTGCAGCCAGGGGGCACTGGGAAGGGGCGCAGCCAGCGGGGTTGAGGGTCGAATTCCCCCCTTCAAAAATTCCTGGCTTACCCCTGAAGTTGGGTATGAGCTCGTGGAAGACATATTCAAAAGATTAACGAAAATATTTTGCCTGGAAATATAGTTTTTTCATGCAGCGTTACACACACACACTCACTTCGAACAACGCACTAAGCAAGCTAAATTTCTAATTCTTTTCAGATGTTCTGCCATGACAAAAATCGCTTCTCTAATGATGGTTTTCATCTTTATTTCCGGACTTTTCAACGCTGAATACGAGGAATATAATCAAGCAATAAAATCAGAAGGTAAGTAGGGGATTTCCCCTCCCTACCAGTATGTATATATTGAATTTCAATTTAGTGCCTTCTCATCTTGAGTGTTATATTGCGGGGCGCTCCAGAAGTGTGTGTACCAATATGGAGGTAATTAACTTTGTTCGCCTACTTTACATCAAGTTGTATAAAGGGACTAAAACCTATGGACAGGGGGATTCACTTGGCTAAGACAGACAGTCCCCGAACTGTTAATAGAACAAAAATACGGAAAATCGGAATGAAATTATAACCTAACCTGGTACATACACTACGGGAGTACCAAATTGCTTATAAAAGCTCTTTAATACGAGGGTATCTGATTACACGCGGATAAATGCGCTATTATCGGTTTTCTGACATTTTTGATGCGATAGAATTGCGCTAATGGTATGAAACTTAAATGTCAAAATGTCGTAAAGTGTCGGTAGAAGTATGACTATTGCTTCGAACTAAGGTTCGCTACAGTAATGAACATGACTGGGAACTCATGGTATTGTGATATCCGCTTTCCGGGTTTATGTCCGGGTTCATTCACGGATTTGAATGTTTTCGGGAAGGTATTTAAATTTTTGTTTGCATGTGGTATTACCAAAATTGTCTTACCTACATGCAGTGGTGGAATTTGAATTTTTTGTCAGCTGGTTCTTTCACAAAAGTCATATTTTCAGCCGGTTCTGTTACAAACAGAACATTGACAGTAACCAGTAATGCAAACCGGTTCGCTGATCTCATGAAATTTCGTGAGACGGTTCTATAGAACCGGTGCGAACCGGCTGAATCCAACCACTGCTTACATGCATACATCATAAGCTATTCAAAATGTACAAAGGCCACAGTACAATTCACTCCTATATCATCTGCTGCTTGTACGGGGAACATATTCATTTCAGATTTTTTGTACAAAAGCCCTCCCTCCACCCCCGCCAAAAACCACCTTCGCAACCGCTCAAAAAAAAAATAGTAGTAATTATCCGGTTAGAACCGTTAGAGTTAGGAATGCAGATTGCGTTGGAAATTCAAATTTTTAAATCATTTCTAACCACAGCTAAATAATTACTAATTTGTTGCTCAAAACGTGGTGGGGATGTTTTTTTCAAATCACACATTTTTGCACTAGTGAAGGAGGCTTCGTACGGATGATCTCTTTTTTCTTTATGTGGATGAATTATACTTGTTATACGTTTACAAATGTAATACAAGGCTAATCCTTTGAGGCATTTTGTCATAACGCAAACTCACACAAATCTGTGAAATACTTACAGCGGTTAGCTCGTATCGCTCCAGGGCATGCGAACTTAATAATAATAGAAAACGACGTGGAATTTAATGAAATTTGATGGTAAATCGGCACATTTAATAGTAAAACGTCAACAAACGAAAGCAAAAGGGTAGATGTATCACAATTAAAAACCTAAAGTTAGTTTACTTTCAATTATGCTGCTATCGATGTTATATTTGTGAAGGGCACATGTCGCGCAAATGTGTCTTAGGCCAGTAAGATCTTGAACATGTATGTGTTTATTATGCAGATGTTGTTACATTGTGAGGCAAAAAAACACAGAAAAATGACGTAAATCCATAACTAATGTTGTTTTTCGTTGCGAATCTCAAGGCAATAGTCCGTCCTTGTTTACGATCTCTTTTTAACTGTGTCTCTTCGACCACAGAAGGTTTTCGCGAAGTTCTGTGATAAAGGATAGTATATCAGGATAGGATAGAATTTTCATTAGTCATTTCGGGAAAAAGTAAGCCGACAATAAAGTTAAATCATAGGAATAACAACATTCTCCCGTCCGGTTATCAGCCGGGCATGTCAGGCATTGAAATAGCCATCCTTTTCAGTTGATGGTGGAGTATGACGTAACCGAGGGCTTACCAAACTGGAAGCGCGCAACGAATTTTAGGTGTCGCAAAGAGTACACACCAATTTAACACAAACTACTATATCTATTGTAAATTTTTAGACTTTTGATCTGGAACACAATTATCAATACCAGTGCAAAACATAAATCTCACAATTTTGTGAGAATAAATAGGATCACAGAAGCGGCGCGCTTACATAACAATGTCGACGTCGTGGAAATTTTTTGTATATTAGGAGGGGTCGCGATCTTGAAAGCTTAGGAAGCCCTGGCGTAATCAATCAGTGGTTATGTGAACCCCATCTTCTTCTTCGGTTAGCGGTCTATGTTGGTTATAGGTAACCAGTTATTTGTTCTTATTACATGGACTCTATGACGCGTGATAAGCGGATTATTTAATCCACGGCCTCTTGTTCTTCTACCGGTTAATGTCGGGTGCGGGAATATTCAACAACTTATTTGTTTCTGATATGTGGACTTGATGAGCTAGGCTACCTTACGACAGCGAGGAGTCCAGCAATCCTTTCGCACATAACTTTCCCGATGGGATTAGAAAGTGAGAACCCGCACATAGTATTTGCAGCGACTTACTTTGAATACTGATTTTATGTGTGCGCCCGTGTGTAGATATGCGTGCGCTTATGTGTATGTGTGGATAAGCTATAATAGCTAACCACGCAACAACCTCAACTAGACTATGACGTCATAAAGTCGCATTTTTTGAAAAAAATCTCTTTATTACAGAAACACAAAGTGAAGTGTTGCTTGCCCGTCGTCAACGAATGCATGAAATTTCTGACGCCAGAAAAGAAGATAATGACGTCATCACCTCGGGGTATGACGTCACAAGAATGACAAATATCACTCCATTGAACAAACCTCTCAAAGAAGAAGGAAAAATCTTTACTTTGCTAACGTCAAACGAAAATCCAAAAAAATCGAAATCTGAGAAAAACGGCGGGAAAGGTAAACCTGCCCCGCCCATAAAAGTAAAGGCGGTCGCGAACGAACCGATATTTTTGAATATGGATTATGATAAGATGAAAACGGACGAATTTACTGAACATGAGAATAAATTACACGCGAAATGGCGAAGACGAATGGAAGAAAAGGAATTCGCTGAGGTAGGAATATTCTTCAGTAGTGACGGAATTTTTTCTAATTAAATGTAAAATCTGTTACGTGTTTTTACGAGTGTCGCTGCTCGATAACCAGTCTTGGTTTCTCGCGACTCCTTTTCACCTCGGCTTACAAGTTTCGCCTCTTTTTATATACTGTATTAATTAGTGTATGGTACTTCATGTATGGTGGATAAAATAAACTACTGATTACTGTTACAAAATCCAAATTCCCAATCTCTACTTCCTGTATAACCTATGCCCTTTGATCTCACAGGTTCCTCCTAATCCATCATTCATCTTCCACAACAAGTTGCCGAAAAGCGGAAGTTCAACAATGAATAACATCCTGAAGAAATTAAGCAAAGCAAATCAGTAAGTCTAAGTGCTTTATTTGGAAAATAAAATCAACATTCGAAACAACACAGCTAGCTCATCAGATAAATGTGTACAATTGTTTGTGTGTGATGACGTCATCGAAATTAAAAATTGCGCTCCTTGTGGCGGTTCCGCTTTTGCGTAAGTTGAAATCTGCTGCTCAGCTGCACTACGGTACCGCTAGGGTGCTGTGACAGATTGCATAGCCGTATCACTTCGCGATCATATCCTTAAGCACCGCTGTCTTATATGAGGTGAGACTGTGAACTTAGTGGATTGGCTGGGCGGTGTGGCTCATCGTGCTAAGCGTTAGGAATACGCTCGCTACCGCACCTTTGATTACCCTGTGTGGGTTCGCAGGTTCGAATCCCATGCGAGAAATAATTATGTGCGAGAGCATTGACCGACTCGGTTCACGTTGCCGCTAGTCGATTACGGCTTGCTCCACCATCAAATCCAGGCATCTGAAACAAATAATACCCGACATGGACTGGCAAACGGACGAGAGGCCGTGGTTTGCCATATGATTACGCCGTCTTATCGGCTCTCCACTACCCCGGAACAAATAATGAAATCCTAAAAATTCAACCTTAAATGATCCTTTCCTTTCTCAGTTTCAACTTTTTGAAAATGGAGACATCGGATCTACAAACATCTGATGACAGATATCTAATACAACAACTGAAAACTAAAGTTAAACCGCCGTTCGTGCTGCTGAAGCATCATAAATGGCTGAATTTTACGAGGTGAGAGAAATCTTATAATTTTCCATAAGTTGCCCATGAGTTTTTCAGGACGTTTCATACCTTGGCGTGCCAAATCCGGCCCGTTGGGTAATTTAAACTGGCCCGCCTGATGATGTCACAACCGAACTAAAGCCAAATTTAGCGATTTTGGCGGAAAATAGCGCGAGGAATTTGCTGAGATTGCGGTAAATTTAGTTTTGGCCGAGGCTTATTGTTTTCCGTTTTGCTTTTGTAACATTGTTCATAAAATTTAACTTCCTACGTCATACTTACTTAGCTCGCCAGTCCAAATGTGCAAGAATCTTGGCCACCCCTGCACTAGCCGCTAATTCTCATCTATATGCTTTATAATTATGATTTCCTGAAAACCTCACTTTGCGAATTTTTAAAAAAGGCACGTCTCAATCTCATGACGTCATGTTTTCAGATCTAATCAACCTCAGCCTACATATATCAACGTAATGAGGGATCCATTGGAATGGTTTACTTCACGCTATTATTTCTCGAGGTATGGCTGGGAGAGGAAGCCTGGATGCAGGAAGGCTGACTGTGGAATGAGCGAAGCTGATAGACTTATGGTAAGTAATTGACATCCGGATCCGGATTTTGACTTCGGATCCCTGAATCGAAAATATTGACTCTGGTCCCAGCTCCCGATTTATTGTTGTAAAAATTTTGAAGCCCACTTTGGGTACTCCGGATTTTGAATCCGGGCGTGATGGAATTATAGATATTGATTTCGACCATAGCTCCTGACTTAATAATAAAAAAATTTTGGAACTTTGAGTTCAAGAATTTTGACTCCGACTACAGCATCTGCTGACGAATAACAAACTAAAGAACAACGAAATTATGACTCCAATTATTATGCCGAGACTGTAACTACAGCTACCTGTTTAGACAAAATGAAAATATCCCATGAAAAAAGTGGCATGCTATTTAGTAGTCGCATCGACTTGCTGTTAAATCTAATTTTACCAATCTAATCCTTATCTTTGTAAGGACATATAGATAAACAAATATACTCTCTAGATTAAGAAAAGTATCAAAAATATCGGCTAAAATTGCCAAAGCAAATGCATGGCAGCATTAACGTGTAATACTGTAACCGACTAGATGTGGATGATTTGTCGACTTATTGACTGTCCAGAAATCCAATCCAATCTATTTATATTTTATCCATATTTCATTGCTGACTTCATCCATTTGAATGATTTCCCATATACAGCAAGGGCTAGTAGCCTTGGTGACCTAACTGGATTTGCATACTGACCCTCACAAATAGTTACGATCAACCAATTATTGTTAAATTATATTTCATTTTCTATTGCTCCCAATGTATCATAGATAGTATTGACATTGTATGTGATAATGAACTTTTTTTCTCTTCTCCGACAGGACATAGATGAATGCGTTAAGAAACGACACAGGGAGTGCATGAATCCCTGGATGTATTTGCAATTCTTCTGTGGGACAGCGCCTGAGTGTTCAAAGTAAGTTATCGTTGTTCTTATATGTAGCGTCTCTCGCAATTTTGTTGTGCATCATAAAACGATATTATGACGTCATATTTCTGTTCTGAAACGCCACAGTAATACGTTATGACGCATCATCTTGAATTATGACGTCACATTCGTGTAGTATGACGTAATGTAGCCTTTGTGTATTAGGGCTTCACATTATACGTCAATTCACTCAACGACGGTTCGATAAAACATGTACTATTGTAGTGTGTCTTTTCGGAAATTAAAGCTAATTGAAATTGTTGTGATGTCACGCCTTAATTTTATGACGTAATATCATACTCCCATGACGTTATGTTCGGTATTATGACGTCACCCTTAAGTTATTGACGAAACATCTTATTTCTATGACGCTGTGCTTTTAAATTATGACATCACTTTTTTGGACGCAAAATGAACCTATGGAATCGTGGAAGGATTGGTTTTCCTTTCCACCACTGGGCTGACCGCTTTCAAAGTTTCGGTAGCTAGTGATAAAAGTGTTCCGTACTTTTTTCCTTTTTAAACTTTCTGTTGACCCTCTGGGTCTCTTGTCATAACGCCCCAAAATTACCGATTTCAATAGGTTTTCCTCCCATACTACATTGTACTATTCTATATCACAGCACTACAACACTAGAGCAGAAGGAGAGAGCAACAGAGATCGCGAAATCGAATATTCTTAACGAATATTACGTCGTTGGAGTCCTGGAACAGTTCGAAGATACGTTGAAATTATTTCAAACCATGATGCCAGATTTTTTCATTGATGTTATACCAACATGGAAATCGGAGTGTGAGTATCTTGGGTTTTGCGTTCTTGTTTTTATTAGGATGTTCGTATACAAAATTTAGGATATGATTTACATATTTATCCCGGGGGAAGGGAAAACCTGTAAGACGGCTTAATCATGTGGCAAACCAAGGTCTCTCGTTCGGTTACAAGTCCATGTTGGATATGGGATTAGTTAGCCAGTCGTTTTCAGAAGTACGGACTTGATGGTGGAGAAAGCTATGACCGATCAGCTGTTACGTGAATCACCCTACGGCGGCGAGGAGTCCGCACATAATTAACCCCTGTATCCCTAACGCTTAGCGCGATGGGCCTCATTGCCGGGCGATTGATGCAGTTCATCCAGAAGACCTTGAAATAAAGTCACTGATATATAAGTTTGGAAAGGCCGGGATTTTCCCAGTTTGGATTTGCCTGGCAATTTGATCTGGACAAGTGTAACCTGCAATGCCAATACAGCCTAACGCTTCAACCGCTGGGCCGTCGCCCGATAAATTCAGTGAGCGAAATAAATGTTTGAAAAACTATTTTATCCCAAATCTAGAAAATTGCATATCGACGTCTTGAACAGGAACTAGTAGAACCTTTCTTTCTTTTATTCTACAATATCATCAAGAGTTTCGTTTTTTTCTAGTTGTCCAGATCAAACAGAACATGACCCGAACGACGTACAAAAAAGAAATGAGTCTCGAATCCAAGAATTTCTTCCGATTCGGACCCCTGCATTATGAGATAGAACTTTACAATTTCGCAAGAGAATTATTCAACGAAAAATTAGAATATTTCCATATCGAATCTACTGTGATGACGTGATCGAAATGATGACGTCATAGAAAAAGAACCTACGAAAAAGAAGCACTCCATGTATGCTGAAAGGACGTCAGGTATGACGTCAAGCGACAACGTGGACTTAAAAAACGGCAAGCCCAAAGCAAAAATCTTAGCTATTACATGATTGTGTTGTTTTCTACCATGACTTGAACTCCGAAAAAAGCTATTTAAATGCTTTAGCTTTCATCCCACTATAATACAACTGTGATGTCATGAAATTTGAAAAACACATACAAAGACTGTTTTCAAAACGTTTTATTCGGCCTTGATATCCGCTGTATAAAAAGAGCAATTTGAGCAATGAAATGCTTTTATTCCGCAAGTATGAGAACAAAAAATAATGTCTTGCTTGTGCACATTCACTGCGAACGAGGCGCTGTTCCAGTAGCCACCGATACATTCAAGCATTTACTAGACCGGTATTACACTATGGGCGAAGTGATGGTATTTAAAAAAAAAAAATTTTGTATTATACGTAGCAATTTTTCATAGCTTGAAAGAGTTGAAACGCCTGTCCACGCATCTGTGTTGGCCAAGCCTTCCCTAAACAGATTGCACTCTGTTTTGGTCGAGTGTTTTTCTCCAATGAACTCAAGTCGACTGGTTTTTCATTTCAATCCACAGTACTTTCTTTAAGACATTCTAGGCCGCTTCTGGTTATTAAACCTAGCCATTTCGAATGTTCAATAATTGACCTTGTGATACGTGTTTCGAGAGTAGCAGAGTTTTATATATACACCCGTAGTAATACCCCAGAAACAGAGACCGTTAGCAAGGACACCTATTTCGAGGGATCGTATTTACCACAATGCTTTACGGCCCTATGATCCGGGACAGAGTAATGGTTATATAGATATGTTTGAGGGAAACACGAAATATGAATGGGCGCAAAATTCTTATATACGGTCCGTACCTGCCTACAGTTAGATTCCTGCTGTCGCTATTGTTACCAAACTGTTTATTTTTTAGATTTTGTTTTTTGCTTGTTTTTGTTTCTGTGAGTAATAAACTTAAACACTGTTGTAATTAGCAATATATTTTCCGCTGGAAGTATTATCACTTAGTTAGAATGTATATATTGTTGGGTTCTGCATTGAGTTGGGGCCGCGACGATAATGAGACTTAAACCCACAGCCTTACAGGCGCATGAACTTCCGGTGGGCGCTCAAAACTTTGCTCAGAAGGAGTCTTCTTTACCTCCGAGAGTACGCATAATGCAGTACCATCCTTCTGTATAGTTTTAGTAACTCTGGGTATTTCAGCGGCCACCAGCAAGGCTGGGCATTTTCGAATACCTGATGATTTCAGAATCTAATCGAATACTTAGAAGGTATAATATTGTATGCAACTTCCTATTATTTTTGGTCCTCCAGACACTTAAATTACTGGAAACATAGAATACATCACTGACAATAAAAAAACACGTTTTCAATAATACGGAAAAGAGTCATATGTCAGAATTGCGCTGAAAAAATATGGCTTCAATGAAAAAAAAATTGAGAAATTTACCTCTACCATTGGTGGATAGAGTAAAACAAGATGGCGAAAATTTGCTCTAAACCGATTCGAATAATTTACTATTCCATTAAATATCAGTACCATATCATTGCTCCTAGTCTTCCCTACATTCATTCATGTGAGGGTTAGAAGAGCGTCTCTCGAACTTTTTCGCCCCGAACAGCTTATGGAACTAGGGATGGGCAATGTAGAATAATTTACTATTCTAGAATAGTTAAATCGAATCCAGAATACCGAATCCTATTCTATTTTCATACTTATTCAAAAAGTGGGAATTTCCACAATGCTGGATTTAGATGTTAAAAAGTTTTGAATGTATAACTATAAATGTATTATTTATTTGGAAATGTCCTGAGCATTGGATTTCATTTGATACTAAACAGGCATTTCCCAGGACAATAAAACTGATTATAGGATTATTATTATTTTTTGCCTTCAATTTGTTCCAAATGTATGTAATCCCTAAATACTGAAATGCTAAATTAAGACACGCTTTACACACTATAATAGTAAGCGGTTAAATACAAAAATAGATATGAAACGGCGTTAAATCATTTTTAATGTTAGTCTGCCGAGTGTACTAACTGAAGCATACCCGCTGAGAATTAATTAGATGCAGGACCAGCGTGTGGCCACTGCAACCTATGCGGCCGTTGTAAAATATTAAATTTAACCACTATCAATCAAAATCAACTTTTTATTCTGTGCGAGCAAGACTCGTAAAACCAAGTTACCGTAAATGCGATTTCGTACTTAGTTATTAGGGAATAACATCTAAAGACTAATTCCTTTTCTATGATTATCATTATATACTTTATCTACCCAGACATGGCCGTGCATAAACTCAATACGTCACTATCTTCGCCAGATGCGGCAACTTTTTTTAAATTTATCGGCGACTAAAATACTACAGACACTTGATCAAACATGCGTCTATCATGAACGATAGGGAAGGACCGAAAAATATGTAATCTTTTGAGAGTGAAATTCAAATGTGACAGATTTTCACGTATTGCAATAACATTGTATTTCGGAAAACGGTGTACTTAGTTATTAGGTAATAACATCTAAAGACTAATTCATTTTCTATGATTATCGTTACATATCATTATCTACACAGACTTGGCCCCAATTAAACTCAATACCTCACTATCTTCGCCAGATGTGGCAACTTTTTTTTAAATTTACCAGCGACAAAATTACTGCAGACACTCGATCAAACGTGCGTCTATCTTGAACGATAGAAACGGACCGAAACAAATGTAATGTTTTGAGAGTGGAGTTTGAATGTAACAGATTTTCGCGTATTGCAATATAACTTTGTACTTCAGAAATGGTGTAATAAATTATTCGTAAATAATATTTGATCTAAATCAATCGCAAGCAATGTTATAACATTTAACGCCTGGGTTTTGGTTTACATGCATCTTTTTTTGGTAAAACTCGCAGGTCTCGAGATATCTCAATGTAAAATGAAGCAAGGCACGTCTGTAAACAATTGAAGATTGTTGCAATCAGATTATCGCCAGTAAGTCGGCACGAATAATAATTATTATTATTGTACTGATTGTCTTATATGTGATTCGTATTTATTTTTGTCTACTGTGTACTTTTGGTATGTGATAAAATAAACTACTGACTGACTTATTATGCGTTAGCTATATAGCAAATCAGTAGAACGCAAAAACGGTGCAATAACGAGTCTTCGCCGTGAGGTGTACTTCGCCGACTTCTTGTTCTGAATATGCAGATTGAGATTACAGTGTTTGATGTTTACCGATTTTACGAGCAGACGCAAGTTAAGTTAAACGAGAGAGATTTCGACGCGAGAAAAAACGCTCGTTTTTAATTGATAAATTAGAAACTTGAAATACAAAAATTGACGCTTGGCGCCGGAGAGGCGGAAACCGAATCCTGTTATCGGATTCGAATAGGGATGGGACGAGTCCGGCATTACAGAGATTCGACGAATCCGAGTAATAGGTCAAGGACTCGAATCGAATCCTCCGAGTCCGTGACGTCACAATGTAAAAGTAGAAAAACACGTTTTTGACCATATTACAGCATCGCGCGCTCACAAACATATGTCGTAGCTCATATTTTTTGCCTAATGGTTCCGCAGATAGCTGTTGGATCAATTTAGAAATATATTTTTATTTTTTTTCGGCGACCATAATACAACCGTAAACGTGGGTCAATATGCGCCTTGGCTGTAAACTGGATTTCCAGCCCACCACCTTGCGTCAATTCCGGGCGGCTATTCATAAATTCTTACATGTCAATATGAAAAATAAAAAGCTTTTGACTACAATGCTTCCCCATAATTCCAGATATTTCTAGCCTTAAATTTACTGTGTGGCGTGCGCAAATGGTAGAGAGATGCCACTCGTCGTCAACACAATGATTGCAATTTAGTAGTTCATGTAAACGTTCTAAAACGCTCCATGCTTTCCATTGCTCCCTTTTTATAGAAAGGATTGCACGTAATAAACTCGATTTAAGAGAGGTATTTATGAGATTCCCCATTGAGTTGATCCAGAGCTTGCTTCATTTTTACGCGAATCGAAAACTCAAAAATATTGCGCTAACACATATTTTATTGTGTACCAAAAATGATAGATAGTTTGAAGGCAACTGGCGCAACATCATTGTTATAAGCGATCAATAGTTTTTAACATGCGTTATATTATCTGGATATCCGTTGTCGCTTTTATTAGAAGTGTTTATAGTACACGTGAGGGATATTGTTACAGAATAAACCTTGAATTTTAACTCGTTAAGATATGTAGTGAGATTTATAGAGGCAAAAGTACGAATATAGGCGTAAATTAGTAAAAACAGAATTGATTAAAGACTCGGTAAAAATGACGTGGACTCGGAATCGAATCCGAGTCCAAAAAATGCGTGGATTCGACTCGAATCCGAGTCCGAATCCCGGCCCATCCCTAGATTCGAATACTTTGGGATTCGAATCCTCCGGATTCGGTATTCTATATTGCCCATCCCTATATGGAAGGTTGACGAAAATGCCAAGATTTCAAGGCTGGCACAAGGCCGACTCGCCAGTCGGGAGACAAAAAAATTCGGAATCACACAGCCACCCCCCATACAACAGTATCCACACTGGTCTAGATATACATGTATTCGACCTTCCTAAAGGTCGTAACTACGAACTAAAAATGTATAAGATGTGCAAAGTAGGCTTTCGATAATTACTGAATATAGCATAACGAAGTTGGCAGCTCAGAAAAGTGTATTTTTACCAGTTCAACTCCAAATATGCTTCCAATATGAAGGCTATTGACCAAATGGCAAAGTATTGCCATTTTGGGTGACCGTACATTTGAACCCATACATTTGCACCCGTATATCCGCGAGTTCAATCTATATAGGGGTGATAAAACCCATGGGTTAGGATGGGTTCAAATATCCGTAAAAAAATTTCCATAGGTGCAATAGTATGCAATTGTCGTGGGTTCAAATGTAATGGAATCACCATTCTGGGCTATGCATGTTTCTTCATATCTGCAGTGGAAACAGAAAATTTCTCAATGGAATATCCCACACTGACAAAATTCAACGATATCCTTCATTATAAGAGGCATCTAGAAAAAATTTACTTTGGTTGGATTGACCAGAAAATTTCCTTCAATATTCCTACAATAAAATATTTAGTCTTAACCTCCATTTAATAAGGGACTTCTTGAATAGATTTTCTGTGTGGAATTTTCGCGGGTGGATTTTCTGGGTATCACAAGCAAAGCTATGCCTCTTTCCAGTAATTATCAAGGCCAGTAAAGTATACAAGCATTGCTACACAATGAAACAGAGTAATTGAAAAAGCAGGGTTCGGCTTATTCTGGGGGAAGGGAAAGTCATTAAGATGGCTTAATCCTAGTATAGGATTAGTCAATAGGATGGCTTAATGAATGTTAAAAAGTAATAGGTATTTCGGCTGAGTATGATTTTGGGCACGGCCTCTCCTCTGTAGATCAGGGGCATAGCCAGAGGGAAGGGGTGATATTCTGGGAAACCCCTTTTGAGAATAAAAAATAATCAGGCATAGCAATTCTTCGTAGATTGAAACTCATGAGGACCGACAGAGCCCTCAGGCTACTCTGAACTCGGACATGATTACATGAAAATGTACCGCATATAACGATTAATTGGAATATTTTGAAGGTTTTGTTAGGTTGAAAAAATGATAAAAAAACACTACTCGATTGAAGAATAAAGCAAAATAAGAAAGCAGGGTAATCCCCAAAAAACAGAACCCATAAATTTTCAAATTTTTCTGTGAAAATAAAGATTTTTTTAGACACTTGAACTTCTGTTCATGTGTGATGGTGCCCATAAGTTTCAGCACTCTAGGAAACAGCAAAATAAAAACATACAGCAGACACAAAAAGCACATTATAGAGATTAATTGGTATACAAAGCACTAAGTAAAGTTTTCGAGATGAAAACTCTTCAAATAAGGATTTGAAAGTTGAACAGATTTTTTTGAAATGTGTCTTATTTTCTTTTGTATTGTATAAATGGTTCATAGGCTTCAATTTTGATTTTAAAACATATTTTTGATTTTCAAACTCTCTTGACTTTCTGTTTTAAATATGAATATCGCTTCTAATTCTGATTGGATACCAGATTAAAAGACAATTATTTCTCAGCCATATTTTCAAATAATTTTTTTTTTCAAAATTATAACGTTTGCCATTTTTCCTGAAACCTTTGGGTTCACAAGATTATTTAAAATAAGGTAGTTTGAAGATTAATTCAGTTCAAAAAATAATAATTCTCTATTGAAGAAAAAATGAAAACTAGAAAACGTACATGACTGATGTTTGTCATTGACAACATTTATAAGTTTAACTAGATCAGTTGTTCCCAAACTAGGGTCCGCAGACCTTTTGGGGTTCCTGAAGCACTTTTGGAGCGTCCGCGAAACAAGTCTGTAATATGGCTATAGATTGACAATACAAAAATTAAGTGCTTAAATTTGCAAATACACATTTGTCGCCTTTTGCTGCTTCGCAATCAACGCTGGAGACACTGATTCTTCACTTTCTGTTTCGAACACGCTGCCTAATTGTGATGTCACAGAGCTATGGGGCGTGGTATCCCAATGCGGGTTCAATTCATGCCACCAAAGGTTTATTAACTGCAGAGCTGTGACCGACGCTGCCCTTTTGCATGTTTACCAAATATCGAAACATTGCGCTTTATATTCTTCTCACTATACAACACATTGCTTTTTTGTCGTGATCTTTTGAAGTATTGTTTTGGTGTACAAGGCCGGGAATCATTGAAATCCGTAGAGGATTTTTTTTAAAAAGTTTGGGAACAACTGACCTAGAAGGAACATTGAATTTGAAGAATTAGTCTAGTGAATATACCCCCTGCCCATAGGTTTCAGACCCTTTACACAACTTGATGTTAAGTAGGCGAACAAAATTAGTTATCTCCCTATTGGTACACATACTTCTGCAGTGCCCTTTAGTAAGTACTGAAAACTGTGGCAACAGTGGATAATGAAGTGAAAAAGGGGTTTGTACACAACATGAATCCCAGTATCAAATGGTCGACATGAATAAAATTATTCTATAGTTCAAATTAATAAAATGCTACATGAAGAAGTTCTATTGAAGAAAAAATAAAGCGGTAAAAAATGAAGAAACACGTATGGATGGATACAGTACTGCAAAAAAAATAAAACACAACATGGCTTAGTGGAGATTTCCCAACATGGGGGATGTTTTTAACTTTGTGAATTTGTGTGTAGTTTTGTATAACACTAGCTGATGATACATTAATTGAAGATTGTCCAACAAACAGAAACAGAAAATCATGTGAAGTTAGGGAGGAAATTAAACAGTTTCCCAATAGGTAAATGTGATGAAAAAGGTTGGGAGCCTGCGGCTTAGTAAAAATTCCTTAACTTAAATTATAGTATATTCTAAATAGCACATCCTGGACCTAAATTGAGACATCTAACTTGTGTAAATTGCATAATTACATAACACAGTACATTGTGTATTGAAAGCAGCTTAACTAGAAGTGCCATTATACTGGGTCTATCAATATATTTTATTTTAAAATTGGAATGAAAAATATTTCTAGCTTTTCGCTATTTTTTCCTTTTTTATCATTTTATACTCTGCGAGCGGCTACTACCGTTAAGCATTGGGATTCTTTTTCATCATGGCTACGTCCGCGTCTACCATATCTTTGACGAGAGCTTCGAATTTGATCTTAGGTTCCCAACCGAACGCGTTCTTCGCTTTCGTTGCATCTCCGAGAAGAAAATCAACTTCCGTGGGTCTGTAGTACTTGGGATTGATTTTTATTCGGACGATGTCGGTAGCTTTGTCATATCCGACCTTGGAAAAAGGAAACATAAGATTATTGAAAAGCTTCTTGCTCGATTTTTGTGGTTCCCAAAACTTGAGTCTTCTTTCATTTCTGAGTGAGTGCCTGTAACTTTGCTCAGAAATGAGTCTTCTTTAATTCTGAGTGAGTGCCCATAACTTAGCTGAGAGATGAGTCTTCTTTCCTTCTGAATTAGTGTTTGTAACTTTGCTCAGAGATGAGTCTTCTTTACTTCTGAGTGAGTGCCACCCCTATTAACTTTGCTCAGAGATAAGTCTCCTTTACTTCTGGGTGAGTGCCCGTAACTTTGCTCAGAGATGAGTCTCCTTTACTTCTGGGTGAGTGCCCATAACTTTGCTTAGAGATAAGTCTCCTTTACTTCTGAGTGAGTGCCCGTAACTTTGCTCAGAGATGAGTCTTCTTCATTTCCGAGTGAGTGCCCATAACTTTGCTCAGAGATGAGTCTCTTTTGATTCTGAGTGAGTGCCCTTAACTTTGCTCAGAGATGAGTCTTCTTCATTTCTGAGTGAGTGCCCGTAACTTTGCTCAGAGATGAGTCTCTTTTGATTCTGAGTGAGTGCCCTCAACTTTGCTTAGAGATGAGTCTCCCTTACTTCTGAGTGAGTGCCTGTAACTTTGCTCAGAGATGAGACTTCTTTATTTCTAAGTGAGTGCACGTAGAAGTAAGTCTCCTCTACCACTGTGTGGGTGTATAATGCACCACTATATCCATCATAGCTTCAGTAGCTTCTGGCATTTCAGTGGTCGCCCATAACTTCGCTCAGGGAAGGATGAGTCTCCTTACAAGTGTGAGTGACCTCGCTTTGATTAGATCAATGGTCCTCAACCTTTTTTTTCGTGGCCCATTTTCGTTGCCCAAAAATGTTTGTGGCCTATTAACTTAATAGGGTTCCCCTTATTAACTAAGGGGAACCCTACAAGAAAAATCAAGATATTCCTGTGAAAATGGACACTTAAACGTTTACGGTTAGAATGGGACTTATCTCTCAGTAGCAGAAAACAGCATCGTCATTGATTGCTGATACTATTGTGACATAAATAAAACTAGCTATTTCAAATAGTTCTGTAGCCAAGCAGTGGGACATTGGCAACTGGTTAAGAACCAGCGGTGTGAATTCTACAATCTCACAAACCTCATCCGTTCCGCTTCCTCTCCATCCAATCTCAACTCCAACGTGTTTGAACGATTTTTCAATGAATTCACGAACGCTGTGGGTTTCGTTTGTTGCCAGGACGTAATCATCAGGCCTGGAATAATAATTTAATAGTAATTTGGAAAAATAATTGACTTTGACAGTTGTTGGAGAAAAATTTTGGCTCAGAGAAAGTCAGATTTCGATCATTAAATCTTTTGTCATATGCAAACCTCTTTTATTAGACTTTCAAGAACGCCTCGCAAACTCAATTTTACCTTTTTATAGTAAATTCTAACTCTGATTATCACTTCAAGTCTGACCCTAAACGTCAATCTGATATGACATGCTAATTAAAAAGTCTGTTCTGTCGATAGAATGTTAATGTTGAGAAAATGCACTAACTGGTGTTCAAGTAGTTAGCATACACCGGTCAGCACAAGACTTTTCAAGTCAGTTCTCCAAAGGAAACAACTAGGTGGAAGAGAGACCTCCAGTGAAATCGACAGGTTTGATTTTTAGGGCAGCTGTACATTGTTTTATGTGGAACCTATCACTTAGTTGGGGTGGTGAGAATATGGGATGTACAAATGTACAGATTCACAATAAATAACTGAGCTTTGATCATAGGATTTACAACTTTAAACAGACTATATGCCATGGGTTCGGCGGTGTGGCGCATCATGCTTAGCATTAGGAATTTGCTTGCAACCGCACATCTGATAACCCTAAGTGGGTTCACAGGTTCAAATCTCTTGTGGGGTTAGTGATGTGCGAGAGGATTGCTGAACTCCCTGCCGCCACAGGGTGGCGACCAGCGGTTACGTTAACCCTCCCCAATGGCAGGTCCATGCTTCCATACACAAATACCTGGTTAAATAATCCTATAGCCCAGCGGTTCCCAAAACATGCGCCGCGGCGCACTAGTACCCCGTAGTTTAATTAGCAAAAATTAGCAGAATTGTTGTAAACATGATTAAAATATGATTTGATAATTTACACATTGTATTCAGTATAAAAATTTTATCGTTTGCTATTTAAAATACACGTGAATCAATAAATTCTTTGTAACTTTCCCTTACATAGTGTCTGTCTGCCTCTATTGTTACGCAACAATATATACAAACACCACTTGTTGCAATTTTGCGAGATGCAGTTTATTTATCTGCTGAACCGATTTTAACGAACAGGCAAATTTGAGGAAGGAGAGTTTGCCTTTATTCCTTGCGCCTACGTGTTTATTGACGATAAATGGCATAAAGTACACAATAACGATAATGGAATTTACTAAAGACCAGCATACTTTTTTCGTGTATGTGCGTCGCGAGTATTTTCACCTGTCTTTCTGACGCCGCCCAAACAAAAAGTTTAGGAACCGCTGTGTACCAGGTTAGGGTTAGGCCATAATTTCAGGTACAAATACCATGAGAGTCACTTGGCTAGTCTCTGAACTCATAATAGAACTAAAATAGGGAAAATTGGAATAAAATTATGGCCTTACCCTAACCTGGTACACATACTACGTTCCGGTGTCCGCCATCTTGTTACGTATACTCACATTGTTGGGTTCTCCCGTTTAGTTTAGGAACCACTGCTATAGCCTACATGAAGTGTCAACCGCACGAGAGGGAGTGGTTCGCCATATGATTAGGTCGTCTTATCAACTCCTCTCTCCCCCAGAATAATATGTAAATCCTATCCTATGGTAAGTAACCTGACAGACGAAGAAGCTCTCATATCATACTTACGTTTCATGCTGCAGCATCGCCCACATTCCTTCCACATAATCCCTGGCATGGCCCCAATCTCTCTTTGAGTCTATGTTGCCCAGCTCCATGTGATCTGTGAAAGAAAATAACATAGGTGAATCGTGTGAATCGATTAAAAATTAACTACATGCCATATTCTTTAATTTCAGATATTTCCCCATAACAAATAAAATCAGAATCGAACAGTTTATGTTCAAAAAGGCAATCACATGGGTAAAACTACATTTTGATTTTTGCTCTTGTCGTTGTGGGATTTAATTCGCCGTTCTGTTCGGTGCCTTCATTACTGGAAGGCTGAGCGATAACCACATTATCTCCTTTTTGTGTGGCCCAGCTAGATGTCCAAAGTTGGTTATATAGCCCGTAGACAAAAATGTTGCACACCGCATGGGTTAAATGTTCCTAGCTATTCAGAACTCACCACTGCATAGTTATTGGCATAATATTGTCTGAAACTGATCAACCAGGGTAACGTATCTCAGAAATCTATATAGTTTCATAGTTTTAGCAGCTCTGAGTATTTTAGTGTTCGGTCACAACTTTGCTTAGAGATGAGTTTCCTTCACCTTATTATATCTAGAATTTTGGGTACTACCGTAGTATGTGTACCAGATTAGGGTTAGCCCATAATTTTATTCTGGTTTTCCTTATCTTAGTTCTATTACAAGTTCGGGTACTGTCTGTGTTAGCCAAGAGAATATACCCCCTGCCCATAGCTTTGGGTTCCTTTAGACAACTTGATGTAAGTAGGTGAACAAAATTAGTTACCTCCATATTGGTACACATACTTCTGGAATCCCGAATTTTGACCAGAAATCTATACCCAACAGGGCCAATATGGGCAGGTCAAATGAAAGAACCACTAGACTAGTTCCACTCAACCTTTTCTTTCTGTGGCCACTTTTGTGGCACGAAATATTCTGTGGCCCATTACCTTTCTTATAAAATAACTGCAATAAAACAAAAAAGTTCTTTTCGCAAACATAGACAATTCCACTCTCATAATTAAAATGTAAATCACCACTCCGTAGCAAATACAGCATCATCATTTATTGCGACCACGACCAAAGTTTACCTAATTTATCAATAATTCTAGTTATTTTGTGGTCCACTTGGGAATGTTTCTGTGACCCAGAAGTGGGCGATGGACCACTAGTTGAAAACTGGTGCTGACTACTAGAGCAACGTCAAGCAATACTAGCTCAGTGCTTTATTTAGAGAGAGTCACAAATTATATTCCATACCTTGCAACCCAAGATGTATCTTTGCTACACTTCTCGAGATCTTTCTTGTGACGAAGTTAAATCCCCGCCTCGGACTTTCGTGATTGAAAAGAATTCCGTTGCAAGTGTACATTCCGTACGCTTCCCGATAGTTGACTGCAATCCAGTAGGCGTAAAGTTTTGCGGCTGCGTATGGGGATCGGGGGTAGAAAGGAGTTTTCTCGGTCTGTGGGATTTCTTGGACCTGCAAAATAATGGATGAGGTAAGCTCTGAATAAGTTGATAAAACTGATTCGGCAAACCATGATCTGTTGTTTAGTTACCAGCAGGACAGGTGTACTTACATATCCCACCCCTAATATTTATTAATTTTTCCACAATTTTCCTCTGAACGAGCAGTTTCTGACATCAGGAGCTATTAGGTAGGCAATGATAAAAAAAAAATATTTTGACTCTTACAAGACTAATAGCTATGATTATTTGGAATAGAAGATTTCAACCAAAGCATCCTCTCACTATATATTTATCCAAACCCCAGCAGTGACGATTGGCCCACTAGTTGAGAACCAGTGTCCCAGGCTAGGGCTTCTCACATTGGGATCGCAACCCTGCCAGGAGGCGCAAAAAGAATTTAAGGGGTCAGAAAGAATACACCAATTTCACACAAAGTACTATATATATTTCACTTTTTATACTTTTGATTCGAAGCACAATTATTAAATTTAGTGCAAATCTCACGATTTCGAGAGAATACACGGGATCATAGAATGTTATGAGCTTGTATAATGATGATGACTTAACAGGGAGCACAGAAAATTTTAGTATATTAGAAGTGGTAGCAAGCTTTAAATATGGGAACCCCTGCTCTAGGCAGTATATATAGGCAGAGTGTTAATAAATCCACAAAAAAACAATAGGCTACACAGTACACACCTTTCCATACATCTCACTAGTCGACGCTTGATAATATTTGACTTTCTTAGTAAGTCCGCAGGTTCGAATCGCATCGAGAATACGCAGCGTACCAAGACCATCCACATCAGCAGTGTATTCAGCAATTTCAAACGAAATCTTAACGTGACTCTGAGCTCCGAGATTGTAAATTTCGTCAGGCTGAATCTGAAATTAGAAAAAGAAATTTTTTACATTGTATTTAGGTTGGAAGAGGGAATAGTGGAATTAGGAACTGCTTTTTTAATACATTGATTTTAGGTTCCCACTGGTATTTTGGGGAGAAATATTATCGCCTATCCAATTTACTAGAGACAAATTTCCTTGATTATGAGTGTGCGTAAACCTTATCCCCATCAAGCATAAAATCTTTTCTGACAGTTTATGCTTAAAAAAGCACACAAGTTATCAAACTTTTATATAATATATTCAAAATCTATTTTTGGAACATACTTAGAAAAATAGTCAAACTGTGAGACAAAGGATAACCCATTGACTCATTATATTCCCAGTCAAGAGCGTGCAAAGGAAGGGCGTGACTAAGGATAGGCAGGATGTTAGTGCAAGAATGTGGGTGTGGCCATACCTGAATAGTTAGAAATAAATAAGACCAAAATAGAATTTTCAAATGAAATTTTAAATAAGAATTATATTCTAAAATTGGTCATTTTTAACAGAGAATAAGTGGAAATCTATGTACAGTATTTTCATTGGGTTTGATTAATGTAAAATTATGAACAGATCCTGAAATGCATAGAGTGAAAATTTCGTAAATCTTTCTGCGAAAATGAAGAAAATTTATTGAAGACTCAAAATCCTTTTGTATGTGATTGTACCCATGAGTTTTAAAAATTCAGTAGGCCTACACCTTGCACAAAAGTTATGTTCTCTGTAGAACAGGGGTTAGCAAATTACGGCCTGCAGGCCGGATCCGACCCACCGAAATGTTTCATGAAACATACTTGTGTTTGCTGAAATTACAATTTTTGTGGATATAAAATTCCGCTGAAAATGTCGGCTAAAAATAACATCATAATGATCCTGTTTGTTACATTGCGCTTATTATTATTTTATAACCGTTAGCATAGCTGTTGGACTAGCTCCTGTAAATAGTCTGTTTTTTATTCAAAGGTTGTCATATTGAGTTCTGAGTCCCCGACCAAGTAACCAATTCTATTATCTGTAACAGGCCCACTCAGAAAAGTAATTGCCCACCCCTGCTGTAGAACATGTTCTAAATTAAAAAGGTAATTTTTCTCGGCTAGTGAGTTGTTAGTAGCAACATAATAATACACAAACCTGGTTTATAATCTTAACAAGGCAAGTGCTGTCTGTCAGATCCCCATAATGCAGAATCATTTGACCCATCTGATGGGTAGCTCTGTCTGCGTACAGGTGCTCAATCCTCTGCGTATTAGGCTGACTGGCACGACGCACAATTCCATGGACTTGGTAACCTTTGTCCAGAAGAAATTCTGTCAGGTAGGAGCCATCTTGACCGGTGATGCCTGGAAAATATGTAATTGATTAGATCAGTAACAGCAACTCCGGAGACGCATGTGACTCTTTCTTCTCGAGGCTCTGGCTCCTGTGAAGCGAAGTGGTTACAGCAGTTTTTGTTAGAAGGAGTGAGGATTAAATGAAAGTCGAGGGCATAAAGCAGAGTACTACTCACTAATTACACATCACAGCAGGTATAAGTCGGGCGATAAAGATATGTTGCATTATGATGATTCTAATCCGGTCTGTGGTTCTCAACGTAGTCCCTCAAGTGAGCTTTGAGGATGAAAAGATTCATTTAATTAATTTCAAGTGCTTTAGAAATTGAAAATGGGCCACAAGATAATGAAGGTCGACAAAGCAACGCTCACATTCGAACATGCTTGCTAAATCACCCGAATGCGGGTCAATAAATTTCCAAATAGGTCAATTTACTTATGGACGCGGATCCCTGGCACAAGATGAGTGAACATGGGCCATCAGTACAGATCAGTGGATTTTAAAAATGAACCCTCTAATGAGATTTGAGGATCTTGGAAATGGCACAGAAGATTTTTATCAAAGGTTTGTTAAAATTAATCAAATTTTTCAATCTCATCCATACCTGTTATCAAAGCAACTTTTCTTGCTCTTTTTGCCTCTGGTTCTCCCGAGCCTGTGACTTCTGATCCATTCTTTGTACTTGAAGCCATTTTTCCTGCTTTTGCTTGATACAGATAGTTCAATACAGTGGATTTATATGAATAAATTTAGTTCTGCTGAGTAACAGATAATACGCTACAAATGAGAAAAATCCGCAATATCATTCATTTTCTGATCTGCCTTTTTTACTCTGTTTTTACAGAATTTATAAGAAAATATTCAGAAGCCTGACCAACATTAACAGAAATTCAGCTTAACAATAATTCGGATAAGATTTACACTTTTATCCTGGGGGAGAGGAAAGTCAATAAGACGGCTTAACCATATTGTGAGCCAAAGCCTTTGGTCCGGTTACCAGCCTATGTCAGTATGATACACTTTACAAATCGAGAGACAGTGTCTCGTTTCAAAGAATCCCATTTTGACGATGAACAAACACCCCTCCTTTGGGACATTGTTGTCTCTCAATATCAGTTAAAATACAGTAAAATGAAGTTGCGTAAAAAACTACAAAGTAGCGCAATCTAAAAATGTCATCATTGAATTCCTCAGGAAAAAATAATCTGGTTCACTGAAGGAAATAATTTTCTATCGTGGCATTTGAGAGTTATCAAAAAAGGGCAAAATTGGTCATGTGATGGCTGCGCTTAATTTAGATTATTATCGAGACAAGCATGTTGCGATATGACGCATCTGCCGTTGTGCCAGACGCCCCTCATTTGTGAGACACTTGGAGTGTTTGTTTTATTGAATTAAATGGAGGGAAACTCTTGGAATTTGGATAGTGTGCCGTACATAGAATTGAAGATATCATTTCGCAAAACATCAAATCCTTAATTGAAAACTATATATTGCACTAAAATTCAAATAGAAAGATCAAAAAAGGCCAAAGCTTCTTAGTCGAGGTTACCTAAAAATCGGTTTAGTTTGTTTATTTCTGAATCTCTGAATCTAGTGATGCAATGATGACAAATATATAACCTATAACTGTATAAAGTAAAAGAGTAGCCTGATCGCCCAAGTTATAATTAATTTACACTTTCAACTCCAACAATCAGTTCTATCCCCAGATCCCGTTATTGTTCCAACACTAAATTACTCGCTAACTAGATGAAGACATTGAATACCTAATTCAGTAATTGGCTTCTCGCCTACAGTCCTAACTGCCCTTGCCATAACGGCTGGTAAGCGTTTCCAGGTTGCCTTGACAGCCGTCGTATTTGCCCTTAGGCTAAATTGTTAAAATACGTACAAACAGACAAACGCGGGTGAAACATCTGTCACAAGCTTAAAGCGCTTTCAAACTGAAAAGCTTGTCCCCATACTATCATAGTTCATAGGATTGTCATACCGGTATTCATTTTGAGATAAAACATTGTAAGCACATCGCAAACCATCCGTCTCGCGGTAATAAAACTTTTTCAGACTCGTGTCTATGTTTGCCATGAAACTAATGCAAAAGTATTTAAATTATATGGTAACCATATAATCCTGTTTATATCATCAAATATTAAAACTCAGCTGTGAAAATCGTCAACCACATACGAAATCCGTCTGCCACGTTGAAATCTGAGATTGAATATTTTATTGTTATTTCCAACTCGAGCGTTGCGAATCACGTGCGACATGCTTGACTGAAAATCACACGAGAGCACGGGCTGGATTATAAGTTCGTTTTTACTTTTAAAACAGTAAATTAGACGGTAAATTATTTGATAAAAATATACTAATAAATACTAAGTAAATTTTCATAATCTGTGGAAAGATGGCGTGTGGGTGGACTCGATGTAGTTTCAGAACGACACTGAATGCGCAATTTAATGTGTTGCTTATAACGCTGCGACGATTTCAACATTTTTTCGTGAGGTGTTTTAGAAACAGTAGATTAGAAATAAAACGGTCAGTTAGAACAGAGACAATACGTAACAATAAGACGTCAAGCTGCCTTTGTTTATTTATTATAATTTAACGTGAATCGGTTGGCCACTATCTGACATCTAGTGGTAGTTGACTACTTACCGTCGTCTGCACAACTTTTTTTGCAGCGGAACGCGGGTAGAGTGTCGTTTTCAGTAAGAAAACCTTGAAGAATCTTCGTAATAATGGAGAACAAGTATGCGGGGAGTGGTAGAGAAAGACGTTAATGGTAGGATATACCTAAAGATCATTACACGAAAAGCATCTGTTCAAAATATCATTAGAGTATATCATTGGAGTGTTTGGAAAAGCATCTGTTCAAAATATCATTAGAGTATATCATTGGAGTATTTGGTTGTATTAGGTTTGCAGATGTTAGTGTAACCTTTGGTTAGAATTAAAGTACTATAGCCTAATACCCTCGATACTACTGTACTATCATCCAACGGATTATAACTTCAATATTATACTGACTTGAATTTTGTCTGAATTACTACCACCTTTCAATCAATCTTTTACACGGTACCGTTTCAACCACTATCAAGACAGCAGGATGAATAACGAAGCCCAAAACCAGCTTATGGCCGCTGTCGCATCAGTCCAGGACGCTCAAAAAAAGCTGTTGGAACGATCGGAGGAACTGTCAGCCACAGAAGATCACGGCAACAGATCTGAAGATATCAAAAAGTTCCAGCAGGATGTAGCCCAGATCTCCCCTAAGATCGAGGAGATTTTGAAGAGACTGGAGATTTTGGAAAAACAGCAAGATGACTTAGAGCAGTACGACCGAAGAAACTGTATAATTCTTCATGGCTGCAAATCCGTGCCAGAAACGAAATACGATCAGTTTGAGGACTTCGTTATAAAATCCCTTAACAGCAACTTGAAGCTTGACAGTCCTATTGTCAAATTCGATATTGACATTACCCATAAGTTGAGATCAAAATCCCCGAAGAACCCTATCATTATTAAATTTGTCAGAAGTTCGACAAAAAATTTAATATATGGTAGGAAGTAAGACCTGAAAGACAGCGGTTTGTCCATCACAGAGTCCTTGACCCGTAGTAGGCTTAAGCTGCTCACCGCTGCCAAAGAAGCCTTCGGGAAGCACAAAGTGTAAACAATGAATGGGACAATCTACGCGTACTTGGACAGAAGGCGAGTTATATCTTGTTTAAATGATATCACTACTCTATCTCGTCCCCTGTACTCCAGGGCTGCTGCTCGTCCAATGGGGCTTAGCAAACAGGCTCACTGAATGCACCCTGGTCCTTTTGGTAGAGTGGTGGCCTACAGGAGTGAAGGGGAATAAATACTTCTCTTCAAATTTAATTTTCTCTGTCGAATAGGCCAGTACTTATCTAACTATAAGTTCTTTGTCTGGAAATTTAGTATTTTAACACTAGAATTTACTTCTTTACATTTTTATACTTTTTTATATCTATTTTCTTTTTTGCCACAACCATAAAACATATGATGAAATATCCATGTAGAAATTGCCACAAATCAGAAAGCTATTTTTTGCAATATTTGTTCTTATTGGATACATTTATAATGCACCAATATCTCTGGACAGCAATATGAAAACCTGCAATCTGAAGCTGATGAAATGCCTTGGTGCTGTTTCCTTTGTGAAAAAGAATGTTTACCATTCTCTTCTATCTCTGATTCTGAAATACCAAAATTATTTTCTACTTTTCACTCAGAAAAAGCTGATGCCCAGACTCTTACAAAAACACTTAATCCTGAATACCTCAACCAAATTTTTCTTGAGTCAACCAATACTGACACTGAAGAATTCATCAACATGGACAGTGTTTTCATGTACAATAGCTCAAATCAGTATATTTGCTCCAGTGATGTCAATGACCTTAAATTCAATGATAGTCTAAAACTAAGTGGCTTCATGACTCTTTCAATCAATATCCGATCTGTAGCCTCCTTCAAAAACTACACAAAATTTGAAGCACTATTAAATTCACTGAATTGTAAGCCACATGTAATTGCTATAAATGAAACATGGATTGTATCTGATACAAATGGCCACTTCAATGCATTGGATGGATATGTTTTCATCTCTAATAGTAGATCTCATCACCGAGGTGGTGGTGTTGGTCTGTACATTCGAAATGACCTGAAATACACTGTCCATATAGATCTCACTATCATGAGTGAGAAGGTTTTTGAATCCATATTTATTGACATTTCATTAGAAAATAAAACAATAACCTGCGGTACTATATATAGATCACCACTAACTGATGAATTGAACAATGCTAACTTTAGACATCTTTTGTCCCAAGTTCTCTCAAAGATGAACAGGTCGAAATATAATTATATAATGGGTGATTTCAACTATAATCTTATTGATGAGTCCAATATGAATACCAGCCTATTTGTTGATATTATGCACAGTCTGGCCTATTATTCTCTGATAAACTGTCCCACCAGGATAACTTCAAGTTCTGCTACCTGTATAGACCCCATCTGGACAAACGTATATGATAAAAAAATTAACAGTGCTGTTTTAGCAGAATGTATTTCTGATCATTTGCCAATTGTACAATGCTCTCTCCTAGAAAAGCAAATCCAAAACAGAATTGAAACACTTCGTCGCCAATTTACTTCGTCCAACTTGAATACTTTTATAAATGAATTGAATTCCATTGATATTGATGACTTCAACAGCATACAGGATCCAAACATATGCTTTGAAAAATTTTTTGATAAATTCTCTACTATTTACTCTCAGTCTTTTCCTTACAGAACACAAACAAACAGATTAAACAAACCTTGGTATGATACTGAGTATGATACTGAAACTCAACAAAGTCAAACAAAAACTTTATAAAAAATTAGTAAACAATAAAAACATAGATGACAAACACAAGTCACATTATAATGAATGCAATATTCTCTCACTATCTACTGGATTATTCATTGAAAGTTTCAAGACATCTAAAGTTCTTCCTCTCTTTAAAAAGGGTAGTGTCTCAGATCTTGGGAACTATAGACCTATTAGTCTTCTACCGTCGTTTTCTAAGATTCTTGAAAAAATAATGTATAGTAGAATGTCAAACTACTTTGAAACCAACAATGTTTTCCACTCGCATCAATTCGGTTTCCGCAAGCAACACTCCACCGCTATGGCTGCTAATGTTTTGGTACACAAACTAACCAAGGCTTTTGAAGGCAAACAACATGCAATTGGAATATTC